AAACTTTACTGATCCCTTCACAAATTCTTTCACTCATTTCGATGATAAATTGGTGCTGGTACAGGGCGTGAGGTAAAACAGCTCAATGTAGGCAATCCTGAATGGGAGAGCCACCGACAATTTTCCTAACTGGTGGTTGCTGTTGGCATTTGCTACTATTCAGGCAATTTCCATTTTCCTTTCTGTTGGTTTGCTCTTGTATTGACGCGAAAATTCTTAATCTTCCCACCTGAACTGTTCACATGCATATACCTCTTTGATATGATTTTCTTTGCAGGTGCAACATGTAAAATTCGTTTGAATACTTCATTTTTAGGGTCAAACCTCAGAAATTACAGAGGCAACGTATGAATACTAAGAAATGTCCTAAAAATTTGCCAGTTAAATCAGGGGCAGAAAGAAATACTGAAACGTCAACATCGGCGGCTAAAGAAAAAGGTCTGCGTAGCCTTCTTGCACGATGTTTTGGAAATTTTCACGTGAGTTTTCTTTTTTTTCGTGCATTAATTTTTTTACACTGTTTTCTTCTCAGGGTTTTCACACCTACAAAGCGGAGCAAGTAAATCTAGTTAAATGCTATGTGTCTCATAATTAATCATTAGCTTTGAAACCGTTTCAGTCGGAATTTTAAATGTGAAAAAGCACTGTCATTTGATTCACAAATGCTTCAGAAACAAATAATGAGGGAAATTCAAAGAGCTATTCGTTTATAAACACTGAATTAAGTTTCAGCGATGTACTTGCTTTGATACTTTGATCAACTGGCTGTTTCATCGTCTCATTTCTTCTCATCGTTGCTATAGCTGGCAATTGCTCCATTCTTCTCTATTTTGGTCCCTTCCCATTCATTTAATTCCACAAAGTTATTCAAGAAGAATAAAGCTCTAGTGCAGCGTCAAAAAAGCTGGATGATTTATAAATTCCACTAGAGCTTGACGCTGCACTGAAACTTTATTCTTCTAGGACTGTGTAGAATTAAATGAATGGGAAGGGACCATAATAGAGAAAAATGGAGCAATTGCCAGCTGTAGCAACGACGAGAAGAAATGAGACGATGAAACAGCCAGCTGATCAAAGTATCCAAGCAAGTACATCGCTGAAACTTAAGTGTTTATAAACGAATAGCTCTTTGAATTTCCCTCATTATTGGTTTCTGAACCTTTTGTGAATTAAATGACAGTGCTTTTTAACATTTAAAATTCCGACTGAAACGGTTTCAAAACTAATGATTACGCATGATCTGGGAACCCAAAAAAAACCCTCAAAAATTATGCCTTCAAATGTTCTCAGGATTATTCCACTGCAGGTATCAAGGAAAGCAGAAAATCGCGATTTCGAAATGCCGCTATCAGGAAAAATGTTCTCAACAAAAGAGAGAAATGGGCGAGAAAGTCCTAAACCGTCCAGTGATCCAACTGAATTAAGGTACTGTGCTCATCATTTAGTATAGGTTTTTGTCAAGGAACCGCTTTTTATGCGTTTTTGCTGCGCAGCGCTATAGCGCTGCTACAGCCAGCAAAAACGCATATTGTTGAGAGGCTGTCTGTGTGTGTGT